TTGGAGGGAGGCTTTAAAAGGGACATCATCAGAGGAACAAACATAAAGTTACGGCATCATTAGATGTTGTTACTGTGAGTTTGTCCTAGACTGGTGTTTGTGGTCAGTGTTTCAACACGAGTGAGATGGGATAATTGTAAATACTGGTCTAGACACACCATTGTTCCAGGACACCAATGCTGGTAGTTTGATTGAGCCACATGCTTTTTTGCACCTATTCTCAGCTCCTAAAGATCGATAGACATCTAGTAGGATTTACAAAATGCCTAAAGCAGGGTGCCTAAATCCCCTTGAATTCAGTGGGGGTTAGGAACCTAACTCAGGTGCTTTTATAAATTCAACTAGATGTCTGGATGGATGGGTTGCACCATTCTCTTGGGTTGCACCATATGTAGGTGGCTGCTGGGCCTGTGTAAATTTGGTGTTAAACTTTATCAGTGGTTTAATTTCACACTGCTGAGGTGATGGTCTTGTCATGGAAAGTTACAGTAAATCTGGCTCTCAGTGCCTGATTCTGAAAGATGCTGCTGACCTCTTGAGAGGTCTCTCTATCTTAGGTATATTTATATAGCTCCCCATTACCATAGTATCTGAGCACCTTACAATATCCTTGTGAGATTGGAAAGTTATTCCCATTTTGCAAATGGGGAGCTGAGGCACAGAGAGACTAAAGGTAAAATTTTCAAAATCATTTAACTGACTTGGGTGCCTCAGTCCCATTGACTTTCAATAAGACTTAAGCTCCTAAGTGCTTATAAATCACTTAAGGTCTTTTGAAAATTTTACCTGAAGTGACTTGCCTGGGTCACACACAAAGTCTGTGGTGAAGTGGAGACTTGAACCTGATTTGCCTAAGTCTAGCCTGTAGGACGTGACAGTGCTGACACTGCAGCCTTATCATGGGAACAAATCAAATTTGTAACCTTTTAGATCTTCCAAATTGTCTTTATTTTAATAGCTGCAGGAAGTTGCTAAATAGCCTGTTAGCCTAGACACTATGAATTTTATGCATGTTACTGTCTTTTTCCTAGGTGGCATTGGAGAAGCTGTGTCAGGTGCTGTAGTTGGAGAGCCTGGTATCACAGTCACTCGCTTGGCTGTATCCCATGTGCCAAGAAGTGGGAAACCAGCTGAGCTCCTTAAGATGTTTGGCATTGATAAAGATGCCATCATGCAGGCTGTTAAAGTGGCAGTTTCCAAATCAAGGAATGCAGAGTAGTTTGAAGCATCGCACGTTGTGTTACATCGGACCAGTGTTCAAAACTATACTGTAACTTGGAGGAGAAGGTGCTTAAAATATATGCAGAGAAGGTCTAATAAAAATACAAGATTTAAACAAAATAGTGTGTTAAATCATATTACTTACATGGGCTTTTATGCAGTGCGGTGGTGTCTGAATATAAACATTCTAATGCCTTTTAGGTCACTTCATACTGTTCTGGAATGTCAGTCTTTTGGGGCATGGAACATGCCTCCGTTTATCTCTCACCTGTTTTTCACAATTTTAATTGCCATGTTTCTTAGTTACATAATGTATTTGTGTTTGTCAGGGTTTATTTCCCTCTCAGGCCAGCAGCTCTCTCTGCTCAATTCTGTATTTAGGTCTGAATGCTGAATTTGTGACTCTGTCAATATCTTTTAAAAGAAGCAGGAAAGTCTCAAATGCAGGAATATATCAAGTCAGAGGAGAAACTCGATTGGATTGTGAATTTCTATTCAAAGATACCCCTGAAACAGGTGTATACACTGTATAATTCCCCCTCCCTCCCCAGCATACTCCAGTTTGAAACACCATCTTTAAGTTCTTCTCACAGGACTTTATATTTGCACCATTGTGATGCTTCCCAGCGGTATCCAGGGTTATGAGGCACCCTGCTACCACCACCTCAGCATGGGGGAGTCTTGTCTGTGCCTGTTGTGGCTCAGCTCCCTTAATCCACCAGTCTCTGGCACCAGAAGCATTACCTTCCCGGCCCTCACAGGCCTCACTCTCTCTGCACAGTGATAGGCACACACCGACTGCCGATCACGCCAAGCATCCCTCTGGAGTGCTCAGCCCCAATCCACTGGACGCTCACAGAACTCTGATTTCACTATTCCCAAAGGAATAGTACACACCGGCTTGCCAGGTCCAACTCGGGAGCACTTAACACACAGCACTTAGATACACAGTGAAAACAAGAATAAGTTTATTATGAAAGAGCAGAGATTCACGTGGTAGAAAATACAAGTATTGGAAACAAATGGTTACATATAAAACAAAATCATAACATGCTTTCTAGAGCCTAAACTTAACTCTCAAGATATTCCCCTTGCTGCTACAACTTAGCTTACCCAAAGCCCTTTTCTCAGCATTTTCAACCAGTTTGGCTGATATCCCCCCATAACTCCTCACATTTTCCATACACACATCTTACACTGATTGTGATGACCAATGTGAGACAGGTTTTCACTAGAGACCTTACATGACGTACTTTGTCAGGCTAGAATGTAGATACCAGACCCAGGGGATCCCTGTAACCCTTGTATGCTCCAGTGCTCTCTGCCAGTTGGCATCAAGAGGTCCTTGAGTCACACCCATTAAAAAACTTTGGAATGAGATTCTATGCTTCAGCCTTGAAGAGGTGCATCACAGATTTTGTAGCCCGGCGAGATGGTGGGCTAAGGTGCTTTAAGTTACTTTTGTGACCTCTGAGCTTTTCGAGTAACAGGAGAGGCCCCCAGCATAATTTACACAGCCCTGGGGACCTAAGTTATGGCAACCTCCTGGGGATATACTATGGGCACAGCACTTCCCAGAATCTCTGCAGTGATGCTGTGGCCCTGCCCCTAACACACCCTCCTACCTCTGGCATGTCCCCTATGATAGGGTTTGTAAGGGTGTCCTTGTAAGTCAGCCTGCTGCCTGTCCTCTTGAGTGTCTAGTGTCTGCCTGTGCGAAGGAAATTCTCCCCCAGACCGAACTAGAGCTTTTTATCACCCCATCCATTTTATCCAGCATAAAGGGGTTAGAGCGGAGGTGAGAATCTCCTAGTTCTTTGGAAAACATGTTACTGAAGAGCTAGATTATCCATATGCAGTATTCAAGGACCCACATACAGGAGCTGAGATAACTTGTCCATGGGTGGTGTCTCCTGTTATGAATTCCAGTTTACCTCACTTTTTTGCCCTGAGTTTGATTAAGCACAGTACAGCAGGTTAGTACTCTGGCAGAACGTTAATTTCCGTATATTCAACAAAGAGGGAGGAGATACTGTTCCCCTTCTCCCCAACCCTGCCGAAGACAGCTTATCCAAGCTGAGTCACTGCCTTCCAGAACAAGACACATTCTACAGAAGAAGAAAAGGAAGATGTTTCTTAGCCTTTGTTATGAGAGCAGGATGAAAACGTTCATAATATTCTATTACAAAAATTGCAACACCATGCCGTTCTGCATGGGCAGTTCTAACTTTGTCTGAACTTGACTTTTGTTTTCAAAGTGAAGTTATGTTATGTATGACACAAGATTGTTCAACAAAGGCATAGAAACAATGCACATAATCAGTTAGCTGTGAACATGAGCATTTCAATAATGCTACTATTAATACTCTTAATTTAATACATTTATTTATACTCTTCATATAATACATTAATTCCTCATTTTACATAAGCTATATTGCAATGATCCACTGTGTTCATGCAGACCGCCTCACAATTAATATTATTCCTGAATAAACAAATTGAACTTAATGAAGCAGAAAAGGTAAGAGTGGTTAAAAACAAATGCTTACAATTTATTTTCTCTAGTCTGCTGAGCAAGTCTGAAAATACAGTTCCTTTGCCCTTAAAATAGGCTGTGTTGGGTTAGTAACTTAAGATCCGTCTTTTTTCAATTTTTCTCTTTTACTTATCCCTCCCCTGGCATTTTTGATGCCTTCATATATTATAATATATAACATTTAGGTTTTTAACCACTTTTTTTTTTTTTTTTGCTGTGTGTCTTCAGCACTTTCCACTGTTTCTAGTTCTAAAAAATTTGCCAAAAAAAAAAAAACCAACCTATAAAATGACAGGTGTTCCAAATCTACAGTTCATTATTTATTCTTTTTTGAGCCACTCATTTATTTTTCCTCAAACTGCTGTCACAGGAAGAGAAATTAAATTTGCTGTCACTAATACTACATTTCTGCATTTTGCTATACACTGTGTGTAACATCTCACCTGGCTTTCATTGCAAGTCATTATATTCTAAGCACAGTTTATCAAGGTCTGCTACAATAAATTAATCTAATCCAAAGTAATTGAAGTAATTGTACTGTTGGTGTTCAAGCAGGTGAGGTTTGTCTGGCTCATGGTTTCACAAGGTGTGAAGAAAGCAGAGCTTCTGAGTGCCATGGTTGCCTTTTTGAGGAAAGGTGCTAACAAAGTGCTTTGAAAAACAGCCTTGACTAGTCCACATGCTCAGATAACACTCATAATGCAGGGCTCTAGCCAAAGGGGAATAGCTCCAATCAGCACTGGTGCTAGCAGGAAAGTATAGGTGGGTGCAACATGAAAAGTAAACCTGACCCGGAACGTGCGGGAGGAAAAGAACCCCACAAGGGTTTCCAAAGACTTTTTTTTAAAACATCAAAGGCCTGATCCAGAGCTCAGTGAAGTCTATGCACGTCATTCCTTGACTTCAATGGACTTTGGATCAGACTTCTCAAGTGGGACCGACATGATTATATGGGTGGGGAAAATAACATGATGTATTACCCAAATAGCTTAAAATGAATTTATAAACCTAAACCCAGCCTATTTTACTGGTTGCACTGAGCCACAAAACGTCAAAGGAAAGGACAGACATACTGTACTACGGTTTTTATTCCCCAGTGGAGAGAATAACAAATTTTATGGTTAACCCTTCAATATTTTATAATAGTCATTAGATGTTATGACTGCACCATAAAACAGGTTTATTCACATTAGTACAATCAATCCAGAAACCAGAGACCTGTTGAACTCTAAGAATCTTCTGTTCAGTCAACTTTTCTAATACCTATATGATGATACAAAAAAACAGGACTGTCAGGAGAATTCTGTTCAAATTCACTCCACTGGGTTCACTATTAAACTCCCCCCCCCCCCCCCCCATGCCACATGTCTGGATTTTCATACTTAGACATTAGCTGATACTTGTATGAAGACCAAAAAGTAGGGATTTGTCCCAGCTCAGTCAGATTTCTCATTCAAACATTGCCAAGAAGTAACCCAAGTCCTCTACAGTACATTAAGAATGTGAAAATGCTCTGCCACTCACAATTGAGAGAAATGAATTTCTAAATAAAATAGGCTCAAGGAATGAATGATAGCCTATAGTACAATCTTTTTAAAAAACAGAGCTAGTTCTCTGGCCCTAATAGAAATGGGGTGCTCTGAGTTAGCTAGGAAATATATCCACAGAGAATAAGACTGAACAATAATGTGGTGTTACCTGGGATTTTGAATCTCTGAATCAGAGGAATGAAACGCTCAAGGACACTGTGAATTCGATGCACTATTTAAAAACAAAAATACAGGAGTTGTTCAGTACCAGCTAGATTTCAGCATAGAAGAAGTGAAATAGCAAAGGGCAAGAGTTGAGTGATATTTGTCATCAACAAATATATAGTGTTTCAGTTTGACTGTTTAAACTAGGTCCTTCTGCAGTTCTATTGCTAACAAAATACTGACTCTGAACAAAGTTGCTTGCCAACAAAACAGTTCCACAAATTGTCAAGTGTCTTAATATTAAATAAGGAAAGGAGCTTTCTACTACTATGTGATGTAACAGGAAACCTTAAGTTTCTGTTAACTGCACTTTCCCCCAATGAAATCACTTGAGGATTTTTTTAATTCCAAGTAGCAATATTTGAGTGTTTTCTGCTTGGAGAGCCATTCCTGTAAGGTGTGCTGAGAATTTTCAACTGTCTTTCCTCTTAATGCGAGCTGAGGTTGTCCAGCACCTCACAGAAACAAACTCTGAGTACTTCCACCTTGCTAGATGTTGGGAGGATAGTATTATTTAACCACTGCTGGAGAATGTGTGTCTGTATCTTCAGAGAACTTGTGATTGGTAAGCAGGGGAAAATGAGTCCGCATCTCTTTCAGATGTCAGAGGCCAGTGTGTTGCCAAGCGCGGCATGTAATTCTGAATGGGGGGGGGGGAGGATTACGTGATGTGATATTTTACATAATCTCAGCCATTAGCATTTTTCTACATCTGTGTTTTTTATATGATCGCATAAACTCTGCATTTCCCAGGTACTGATATAAAGCCTCTTGTTTTCTTAGGTACTATAAAATACACTTACCAAGACCAAAATATATTCCGGTGGTTTCTAGGGAAGCAAAGGTGATTAAACCAAAACCAAGAGAAATGGTCCAGTCTAAAGAGAATAAAATAAATACAAGTATTTGGTTTTGCTCTGTCTTCCAAAATACAATCATTCATCCTTACATTAAAGTCCTGTCTTACCTTTGTAGTGGTAATAGCTAATTAGTGCGGCTCCAATGCCAAAGCAAAGAATGACAAAATGAAAGAACACATCTGAAATAAGAGAGAAAGGAAATTATATCACTAAAATCATGGCCCTTGATCATACATATTCACCTACAGCAGTTAGCATAATAAATCATTTCTATTTCCACCTCAGCTACCTTATGTAGTTCTTCTAGACTGAAGTGTGAAAAGCATGTGCATAAATTGAAGCATGAGCAGCCCCATTAACTTCAAAATGATTAATCACACGCTTCAAGTTATGCACCTGCTTAAGTCCCTTGCTGAACTGAAGCCAAAGTCCTCAGGTCAGGTTCTTCTTTGGCCCAAGGTTCTCTAGGCTTGGGATCAGCTAAATAAAAGAAGATTCTTACCATTTTTCCGTATTCTTATCCACTGTCTCTGACATCTCTGAAGGTAGGTAACCTTTTCACCTACTAGAGGAAAGTGACACCACTATTAGTGCAACAGTAACTCTAAAAGAGAGAAGTTTTGAGGGGTTGTTTTACTTTCAGCATCTGAAATGAATTTTGCTTTGAAAATCATTGTAATATTGATCCCAGGAAAGACTAACAAGGGCCTTTCAAAAAAGATCAAATTAGTGATTGTAGAAAGATGTAACAAAACCCCAAAACAGAACTTTTAACTGATAGTGATGATTTAGAAGGAGCTGTATTATTACATCACATGAATTAGCTAACATAATTATCTTAAAAGCAGACATTTCTCTGGCCCTCAACTCTCTAGCCTATCAAGCTTGAAGCAGTAGTAGTATCTCAGGACTCTACTGAGACCCAGGTAAACCAGAGTTTTGTCTAATAAGGCATTTCAGATTGAGCCCTAAGGTCTTAAATCTGTTTTCTAGGGCCACAGCTACTATAATGGAATAAATAAAAATTACTCATCATTATGACGATGTGGATAGAATCTGTTGTAATCTGATGATTAAGTGTGTGACAGACATGGCAACTTCCTGCAATAACCTGGACAAACCCTATTGAATTAAGTTAAATCTTACTGACTTAACTTCAAGTATCTCAAGAGTTCCTTGTATGAAAACTGCAAATGTTTATGCATTAGTGTGGGATTGTAAGTAATGTCTCTAGGGAGGAAAGTGTTATGTGCTTCAAAGGACTATTTGGAACCATGTGAACTTTTAAAGCTAAGTGGGTTTCCCAGGAAATTGCTACAGGGAAGTGTATTAAAATGTAACCCCTCTGGTTTTGCAGATATTCAGCCTTTGAAGCTTTGCCAAGGGGCCCTTTTGGCTGCTGATCACCTTTTACATGCGGACACAATCTGAGGCCCAACTGTATAAAGGAATGACTCGCAGATTCATGGTGGGGGGGGGGGGTGAGAATGCTTGTTCTGCGCCAAGGCGGTTATGAACTTGAAACCATAGGCAAACCCCTGGGTGGGATCTGAAGGACTGTTCACCTGCCAGAACCCTAGTTTGAGTTGGGGTGATCTCTAGTAAGCTTATTAGCATGTGTGTAGATTTTTATTGTTTTAATATGTTTTCCTCTGCAATACTTTCACCTTCAGAATAAACGTGCTTTCTCAGAAAAAAATATGCTGTTTGTAGCTTCTGAGGAAGGAAGGCAAAGTTGGCCTGCTGAGGCAGTCTGACTAGCTAGAGAATTCACAATGGAGACAGGGAACTGTGCAGCCTGAAAATACCCGAGTCAGGGGGAAGAGAGACATGACTCTCCGCCCACGAGAGGTGACAGCTGGGGAGCTAGAAGCCTAAAAGAGGATGTCCATGCTGGACCATGGAGTGGGAACTGTGACAGCGTGTTTCTATAATAGCCCCAAACTTAAGAGTTCTATCTGGGAGCGGGGAATCTGTTTGGATAAAATAAAAACTGACCCAAATCTCTTGAGACTTAAAAGAAGTTTTGAATATATAACTAGAAATTTGACCAGGACTGAAGACAGAATTACCAAAATCCACTGTGAGATACTGTGCTTGTGCTAGGGATGGACTGAAAGAAATCAGAAAGGGATAGAAATTTTACCATATTTCCAGCCAAGTTTTGAAACCAAAGAGTTTCGACAAGAAAATATTTTTCTTTTCTTTTCCTATTCACTGTTCATTTGACAAGGGTTAAAGCAACCCCCTCGAAACACATCTTCATGGCTGAATCATCACAAGCTATAGCTCTGCTGTGTCTGCCTATGTTCAGCTGAATTCACCATACAAATGATTGCACAGGGTGAATTTCATTTTACCCAGTTATACAAATTATTAATAACAGAACAGTTGTGTAAAACACAGCAATTTTGGTTCATGTGGGTTTTGTATGAACCCTGAATTTCACCATGGATTTGGAGATCAAATAGTTCTCCAATAGCCAAAGTTAATTACTGAAATACAATATACATGAAAGAAAAGGCACCCATGCTTTAGGGAAAACAGAACTTCTCTGTTTGCTTTTTTATATTTACCAGCAGCAGTTGCATTTTCTGGTCTTGCAATCTCTGAAAAGCAACAAAATATTAGGACTTAGTCTCTTGTAGTTTAAAACAAAAATCAATTCATGTGATACCCTTCATTACAACACACATGCATATTTACAATTAGAAACGATGTGCCTTTTGTCAACAGCTGATCACACAAGAGATTATTCCCCACTGTTATCAACGCTACCCAGGGACAAATAACAATCCATCTAGAGATTCAAAACAGGAAAAAGACATCAAAAAGGGCACCAGACCAGAGGAGGGAGCTGTCCAGACCAGAGGACGGAGCAAGTGAGAGACGAGGGCCCTCCAGCACCCTAGGAATTCAACACGAGGAGCAGATAGCAAAAACACTTTGGCTGTTCACAATTGCTATGACTGCTGCTTTCTTTGAGGTGGCTGAGTCCCAGATGATTTAGGGATTTATAATTCATACCCAATCCCCACAATTGCCATTGGAAGCGAGCGCAGCCCAGCATGGAGCACAGGTGTTATGTGTATGTATCAATCTAACTTACACATGAGGTTGGCAGCAGTGTTCAGTACTAGTCAAATATTTCCCATGACCACCAGGCTAGCCCTCCACACAGTAGACTGCACTGAAGTAGTCTAGTCTGGAAGTAACAAAGGTGTGGGTAACTGTGGTGAAGTCCACATCGGAGAAAAAAGGCGGCATCTCCAGGCCCACCAAAGGTATGGTAGAAAAGGCACCATGGGACTCTGCCCTCACCTGGGAATTCAGGGAGTGTGTTCAGATGTGCTTATTTCCTCCTTACTATCCAGACCTCCCGGGCATCTTACCCAGTCCTGTTAACAATGGATCACTCTTTAGGGACTCCATCCTAGAACCCTCCCTTCCCTTACATCCAAGGCAACAGCAACTCCTATCCCCCCACCCCAACCCCTGCCAATTATTGCAGTAGAGGGGAGCGGTTGAGCAGGCATTCTCCCAAATGGCAAAGTCTCCTCCAGCATTTCTGCTCTCAGAACCTGGTTGCTGACTAATGTGACAGATCTGCCCAGGAAGCAGGAGGGATGAAGTAGAGAACACAAGAGGGCAATCAGCTCAGCCGCTACTGTGTGGCAGCAGGGTGCACACAGGCCTTTAGTCAGGACGTTTCTCTTGCTGCCACATTGCAGGTGAATGGAATTTAGGGATCAGCTCCAAGCTGCCTCTGCCTAGCAATGCCTCTACCTGGATTTTCATTTGGCTTTCGCCCAGGATCTTATTTCAGCCAAGGTTTTGGAATGCATGGATGCTGCAGGATCTGGGTGAGCTTAGAAGGAGACCTGAGCTGAGCATCATCACCTTACTGAAAACAAGCTCCAAACAGCTCACAGTCTCATAGCCACATTGAACAAGGGGTCAAATAACAGCCTGGCACATGTGAGCTTCCTGGGGAAGAATGAACAACTGTCCACCATAATCACTAGGCCCCTCCCTAAAAGGAAGGAACAAAACCATTGTATATGGATCCTATCCACTCCCGGCTGTTCTAACCAATGAGTCACTATCACCTTGTCAGCTGTACAAAAGGCAGCTGAAAGATGTAATAAAAATCAGCATCGACACCTGACGTCTGTCAAATATCGCGAAGAGCTCAAGCAAAGCTAGGAATGTTGTCTCCACACTATATCCAGGTCTAAAGCCAGACTAAAGGCACTCCAGGAAAATAGGCACATTGACACAGCACATTTATAAGCATGCAGTTATTCTTTTACATAACTCGGTTGTCAGCCAGCTCTTAGAAACCTTTCCATTACAAAAGTCTGTTTCCATCCATGTGAAGTTGCCGAGGGTGGTAACCTGTGAGAATTTACCTGATTCATTATAGGGGACAATCTCTCCCGGTGCACCTAAAATATTGCACAAATATACAGTAGATTAATATCCATCCAATTAGCAAGCATTGAGGGCCCAATTCTGCCTTCAGTCACATGCATGCAATCCCACTGAAATCAGTACACTTGCACAAGTGTGGCTAAAGGCAGAATTGAGCCCCTAGTCTTTAAAATTAGTATCTTGGTTGTGAGTTATGCAGCTTAGAAAAGTAATCTAAAGAAAAGTAATTTATACACAACAATACTCAGCAACTGAAAGTAAATAATTTTTAGAGGCTCCTATATCCTAGTCCCTGCATTAGATGATGGAGTTCTATTGTACTATGAGACTCCTGTGTGACAAACTATAGCTCATTATGTCAATCTAAACATGCTGCTATTGAATCAGACTCAAGAGACATTTAGAATGGTTAGTTAAATGACAAAAGCTTTAACTTTTTACATTTCACGGTCCACTACTACGGGCTGATGGATGTTACTATCTCTATGTGGATATCACACACATTTTCTGTATCTGGACGGCCTTTGCTTGGTGGTTTCTTTTACAGGGAAGGAAAAGTCCTGAGAACAATGCATTGACTTTAGTTATATTCCTCAAATCAGTTCCAGAAGGGCTGACTATGGACACTATAAACGCTGCCTGTCATTTGTGTTTGAACTCTTTAGATGAATTTCAGTCTCTGCCCAACCGTTACCCTAGGTATGAACTGAAATCAACAAAAAGTTGAGATCCAGATGGGAGCTCTTCCATGTTTCTGGAGGGGAAGGGCTTTAGAGCTGGTACTGAATTCCAGTCCCAGCTCTAATATTAATGATTTACTATGCAAACATCTCAAAAAGTTTAGAGATGAGCATATGTGCTATGGTTATTAATATTTTATCATCATTATCGTCCCTTTCTACAACCAAGCGCTGGCTGGTGTTTGTGCTTATGCATGTGGCACAAGAAGCGCAGCCACAGGGAGATCAGAGTGGAAGTATTCTGTTATGCTTCTGGCTCCCCCAAAACCTGTGGTGTACCTTCTCTGTGACTGGAGAGGTGGAGGGGTTTTCCAAGCCAGGGCCTGCAGTTTAGGCAATGTGGTCTGCGTAACCACATAGATTCCTGCTTCCGTCAGGAACAGAATGATTGAAGAGGCTGTGGCCAGATAGAATATGTGCACACAATTAACACTGCTTGTAGAACATTAAGATATACCTGTCTGGGTGGAAACAAAAAAATGCCAGAAGTGTATCCCCCTTTTGTTGCCTATGGGTGCCACCACTAAACAAATAACACTATTGTTATATCACCCCACCTGAAATAGCTAGGCTTCAGTGTCCTGTGCCTCTGAATCTTCCTGATCAGTATTTGTGTAGAGAAATAGTTCTAGTCTCATAAGGCTTAATGAAAAATAGTTCAGCAGTATCAGAAAAGATGGCACAGAAACTTTGTTTTGGCCATAATATAATAAAGACCATTTGGATATGTGTTGGGAGGTCCGGGCCCTTTAAATACAGTGATCATTATAAACTACCTTTGTTTCATAGCTGTCTTTAGAGAAGTCTGGATAGGAGAAAGATCAGCAATAACTGCTGGAATACAGCAGTTGGCCAGAAAGTTGCAGTAATAGAGTTCATGTTTTTTCACACAGCTGTATAAAGAGCCACCTAGTGATTTTTCTTTTTCACCTTTAAAATACAATTCACTTGGTCCTGGGTGCTAGAAAGTTAATGATAATAGGAGCCCTTATGGGAAAGAGAGACTTATTTGCATACCACTTCCATCTTGATTTTCATGGTCTTGGTCTTCCTGACTTTCTTTGTGAGAAATTGGTTTTACTGTTGCCACAGAGACTTTTTTCTTGCCAGCCCTGGTGGCTAATAAGGAAAGAAATGATAGTGAAGTATTATAGCTATTAGAAGCTACTTCTGTATGTTCTTTAAACTACTTTATGAGGTGCCTTAGCACAGGTTTCAGCACACATCATGAACACCTTGGAGAGTGCAGGCATATGAGCATTCACTTGGCAAGAAATCCGGGAAAGGTCAATGTTGTTATGCACGGAAATGTATCTTTATGAACGGGATGTGCGTTGACACATCATTAAAGCTCTCTCGTTACAATATCTTTTTAAGCTGCTAAAATCTCTAACCTACTTGTGATGGGGTGCTCACCCCACACCAGAGTGGAAGGGGTTAATGGTGGCCTCATGGACCTGCCACATCTGATCCCAGAAAGGAGCAGCGGAGGTGAGTCCTCCTGACAGACTAGGGAGGCTCTGCATGAAGCAGCCACTTGGAGGGAGGCTGCACGGAGCAGCCAATCAGAGGCCAGCAGGCTAGTACAAAAGGAGCTGCAGGGCAGAGCAGGGCAGTTGCTGTGGGAGCCCAAGGAGTGAGGACTATGCTCCTAGCAGGCTGCAGCAAGGGTAGCACCTTAGACAGAGTAGTTGCTGGCAGAGACCGGGGGATCAGGAGGCAGCTTCTGGCTAGCTGCTGGGACTTGCTGACTGAATGCCCTGAGGGTGAAGAAGGTGCTGGGGTCATAGGGAAGTGGCCCAGGGCATTGAAGCAGCATTGAAGGAAGTTAAGGAGAGGCAGCAATAGGCTGCTATCTACTGAGTCCCTGGGTTGGGACCCAGAGCAGTGGGCAGGGCTGGATTCCCCCCTATTCGCTGCTGTGGAAGTGGCTTGACTATTGAACGGTGGTACCCATCCCTGAAAGGGGGAAACAGAGTGGGTGATACGGACAGAGGGCATGAAGAGGATGCTGAAGTACTTGGACTGAGGTGGGTCTCCAGATGGAGAGGATGACAGGAGAGGGTGCACTGGCTGGCAGAGCTAATCACCATGACAGCCAATCAGAGGTGCTGCTGTGGTGAGTGGACCCCATCACACTCCTCAAGTGAGAAATCTTTAGAGAGAATTGAATAATGGATTCAGGTTTGTTTTCTCTGTAGAAGGGGTTAGAGGAATTTTGCTGGTATTTGTGTCTGTGTCATTCCAAAATGGAAAAAGATACAAATATTTAAATGGCTACCTGGACGCCAGACTTTGGCACGTGACATCTGTATGGTGCGTATTGGTTCTGTCCTACTGTGGCCTGTTTGCTTCCTATCACTCTTCCTAACCCCAGTGCTGTGTCTCCTACTTGCATCTCCCCTCTACCACCATCCCCCTGTCTGCAGTGCTCTCTGTCCTCCTTCATTATTCCCTCCCTCAGCGGCTTGCCTCTACTACCTTCCACAACCATAGCACCAGCTTCTTACCACCTCTGTTCTCTTGCTTGCCTGCCTTTCATCATCCCATCCCTAGTTCAGAGACTTCGATCTGCTCCCTATGTCCATAGTGACTATCAGTATCCAAATACCACCTCTCCACTGGAAACCGATAGCTACTCTTCTGCACCTGGTAAATCTAAAGATGTTGCTCTTTTGACATCTCCATTTTGCATAGTTTCTTATTTCAGAGGTTTTTTGAATCCCTGCAGAACTGGCACAGGATTCTCTTGTATAAATATCTTACATTTTTTTACCATTAAATTGCAAGTGAAAGCAAGACAAACTCTCTCTGTACCTCGTGGTTGTGTCTCTGCAGGCTCCCGAGATGACCTTTCAACCTCACTTTCTTCTGGTGAAAATGTGAAACTTTTTTCCAATTCCTGAAGTAGTTTCAATTTTTCATCTGTTAAAATGCAGACATAAAATATATTCTGTTTAAAACTAATATTTAAGGTTTTCCTACTTTACGGTCATGCATTATTAACAATGGAGCTCCTCCAGGAAAATCAAGTCTTAACTTTTTTTTGCTTGCTAGTGCACATACAGCACTGCAAGTAACACAAGCGAAAGCATGAAATAGACAAGTGTTCAAATGCTTAATGCCACAATTTTAAAAAATGTTTAAAATGCTGCTGTGGTGGGAGCCCAAGACATCTTGGCATGGGCTTTACCATGTCCATGCTGCCAACTCCCATGAAAATTCACATTGCCCAGAAGCAGACACAAGTAGAACAAGCGGGTGGTTTTGTTGGAGGACTTGATTGTTCACCAACTTCTAGGCTGCTATTTTACCATTATAATCTTGATGTCTCATTGCCTCTCTCGAATTACGCTGCACCACCAACATCCTCTTGTTGGCATAAGAGAGAGCTCTAAATGCTGTGCTTGCTAAACTCTTCTGGGCTCTGCGAATTGGGTTGCAAACATTTGAAAAATGTTTCCAGAGGAAAATTTTCTAAAGAAGTGGGTGGTCTTGGGATCTCCAGACACTCCCAGCAGTGGGGGGTTCTTGGCAGTCACTGGTGTATTTTAGGTAATTCTTTTTGCGTTTTAAATGTAATGCTGCACAGAGATCCTGAACAAGGCCTATGTATCCAATTATTAATATTTATTTGTATGACAGTAATGCCAAGGAGGCCCAGTCATGGACCCAGACCCCATTTTGCTAGGCACAGTACGAACACAGAACAAAAAGACAGTTCCTGCTCTATGAGTACCATTCTGTCCTGAAGTAGGATTTCGGGGAGGGTGGGACATAGGCCCTCTACACAAGGATGAATTTCAGCCTTCATGAATGTATCTTAATAATCAGGACATAATTATTCTGGAACAGCTATTTTGGTCAATCTCCAAGTGTAAATAGACCCTAAGATGAACAGTCCCTCCTCCATGTTCCTAACAGAGGGTGGTGAAATAGGTTCAGCAAAAGGCAAAGCTACTGGCAATTTGTGTTCTTTCATAACTCATTACAGACTTGAATGTGGGCTCACATCTCCCGCAAACCTGCCATATTTTGTAAGCTTTTGGCTCCGAAAAAGGCTTATTTGAATGGGGAAAGGGCCTATCCCAAGCAAAACCAGGCTTTCAGATTCAAAGATCAAAACTCCAAATTCTGTACATTTTCTATTCAAAATTAGCCATGTTATCAAATTTCCCAGGGAAATCAGATGAGGCACACAGACTCACCTGACACACAATGGCAAATTTTGCTAAAATATTTCCACCAGATTAGCACAGCTGTCTGCCCAATATGGCAGCCCAGTGCACTGCTGATTTGATCAATAGGTCAGCTGCACTCTACAGGAGAATTATTTTTTTGCTATGATTAGTCTAATCAGAAGAGGGGAAAATTGACGGTGTGATGTAAACTGGCATAGCTCCTTTGACTTTACCACTGAGTGAGGATCTCAACCCTAAATGGTCAATGCCTTTTTCTAGAGAAACCCTGCAAACTAGAACAAGTACAGTCTCCATCTGTCTAAATAGCTTCTGTGACATTGCACTCTATATGATTTTATGAAAATATGCTAATGACTCATAGACTTTAAGGTCAGAAGGGACCATTATGATCATCTAGTCTGACCTCCTGCACAACGCAGGCCACAGAATCTCACCCACCCACTCCTGTAATAAACCCCAACCTATGTCTGAGTTATTGAAGTCCTCAAATCGTGGTTTAAAGACCTCAAGGTGCAGAGAATCCTCCAGCAAGTGACCCATGCCCCACACTGCAGAGGAAGGCGAAAAACCTCCAGGGCCTCTGCCAATCTGCCCTGGAGGAAAATTCCTTCCCGACCCCAAATATGGCGATCAGTTAAACCCTGAGCATGTGGGCAAGCCTCACCAGCCAGCACCCAGGAAAGAATTCTCTGTAGTAACTCAGATCCCACCCCATCACAGACCATTGGGCATATTTGCCTGCTAATAATCAAAGATCAATTAATTGCCTAAATTAGGCTATCCCATCATACCATCCCCTCCATAAACTTATCAAGCTTAGTCTTGAAGCCAGATATGTCTTTTGCCCCCACTACTCCCCTTGGAAGGCTGTTCCAGAATTTCACTCCTCTAATGGTTAAAAATGAGTGTGAATATAATGTAATTGGGATATGTTTCATGCAAAAGGTCTCTTGTATCATTACAAAACTTATAATATACTGAGTGTGGTCATCCTATTTGTATAAATGTATCACTCTTGTATCTGAAACTAGAAATATAACTCTGAGGGCCTATTGTAATTATGCAAAGTGTGGGCCATTAATGGTGGTTTGGAATCTTGATGGCTCCCATTAACCAGGACAATAGTCTGCAGATGGCTCTGTTTACTTGTAAGTCTTCCTGTATATGTGTGTGCTGGCAAGTGGGTAATGGAGTCTTACAGTGACATGTGATCGTGTCACCTGAACTGGAATCCATCTTTAACCTGGTGCTATTCCATTTAGAAGGAGGGGTGGGAACCCAGAGAGGGACAAAGGATTCCCGCCTTATGCAAAAGATATATCTGTGGGTGGAACAGAACAAAGGGGTGGCAATCATGAGAAATCCCCTAGCTACCACCTGAGCTGGAACAAGGGCTGTACCAGGGGAAGGGATTGTGCGCAGACTGGAAGGCGTCCAGTCTGTGATAAAAGCTTATTGAAACATCTCTGAGGGTAATATTTTTATCTGTATTCAGTTTCTTACTGTATTCGGTTTAGACTTGCGTGTTTTATTTTATTTTGCTCAGTAATTCACTTTGTTCTGTCTGTTATTACTTGGAACCACTTAAATCCTCCTTTTTGTATTTAATAAAATCACTTTTTACTTATTAATTAACTCAGAGTACTTATTAATACCTGGGGGGGGGGCAAACAGCTGTGCATATCTCTCTATCAGTGTTATAGAGGGTGAACAATTTATGAGTTTATCCTGTATAAGCTTTATACAGGATAAAATGGATTTATTTGGGGTTTGGACCCGACTGGGAGCTGGGCATCTGAGTGTTAGAGACAGGAACACTTCTTAAGCTGTTTTCAGTTAAGCCTGCAGCCGTTGGGGGACATGGTTCAGACCTGGGTCTGGGTTTGTAGCAGGCAAGTGTGTCTGGCTCAAACCAGGCAGGGCACTGAAGTCCTAAGCTGGCAGGGAAAACGGGTTAGAAGTAGTCTCAGCACATCAGTTGGCAGTCCCAAGGGGGTTTCTGTGATCCAACCCATCACAGTTTCTATCTATCTGGCTCCCATCATCATCTGAGCAATATGTCTTTCCAAGCACTTTCTCTGTTTACTTTACTGTAATTCACTTCTATTCCCTCCCCAGCACATTTCAGTGTTTTGAAATAAAACTAAAGCCCTAGTCTGGCTATAGCCATTTTTAACAAAACAGAGCTATTACTCCTTGTCTACATGCCAGATTTGGTCTGGACGGATGTGCAGCCAATTAATAATCACCATTTTTCTTGGAGCTGGGCAACTCTCTGTAGGCAGATAGATCTTTCACCTTTAGCAGCAGGTAAAGCACAACCACTGCATTAACTCCTTTTTTTCCTATGGTCTTCAAGGAGGCTGCACGTTCATCAGATGAGTTTATGCCTCTGTTAAGGAGCTGAAAGAAAGGTAAGTACACATCCAACAGGCCTACTTAAAAAAAACAAGCACTTATCATAAGCATCACACAACGCACCTGGGAAAAGTACAATAATATCCCTACTTTACAGAAGGGGAAATGTGGTCCAGTGCTCAGACCCCTAGCCCATGCTGCTTTCACTGAACTATCCCACAAGCAATCACTGTGGCGTGGTGTAAAAGCATTAAACTTTTCATCCTACTCTGTGGCTGAATCCCAGGACTGGAGAAATAGTGTACAAGGTCCTTGAATGGACATATGATCATTTGAATAGCTTGCAACGCTATCTTATAACTTCCGCATTAGTGTCCTTGCTGCAAAGAAAGCAGGTGAATAGATACAGAGGAATACACTGGGGAGCTAACATTTTTTAAAGTTAATTTCTTCACATCTGCAGCAATAAAAATAAATCAGAACTTTGGGCCTGATTCTCTTTAACACTAAGGCCCCTTTATGCAGCTGTGGCAAGCATAAAGGAACTTTAGCATAAACGAGGATCAGGCTCTACATTTTATTCTCCCAAAGAACAGTAGACAAGCAAAACCATGCCGCCAATAAGGAAATACTTAATATTTTACAAAGAACAAAAGAAAACGAGGTTTCTTTAGTAACTTACATTGTGTGTTTCTTCAGTGGTCAGGCTGGCTGGGTTAACAGTGGCTAAACATTTTATTAACAATTCCCAGAAGGACTGGTTCATTTTCTCAGATGTTTCCAGGTAATCAGCATCATCAGCAAAAGCTTTCTGAAAAATGTCTAGGAAAAAGATATTTATACAATTAAAGAAGGTGCATACAGGACGGACTTGTGATGAGGAGTTACTGTCATGCTCTTACATAGCTCTGGTAATGGGCATGGGTCCCTGCAGCATGTTTGGCTTCTAGGAAGAGGCATAACACTTGATCAGTTGGTATGAAAACAACAATGGCATAAAGAAATGCATGTCTGCCACCACTCAACAAGAGAATCTCATAAGTTGATAACAGTCTTGGTACCTTTGCAATGCTATTGTTGTTTCATTGGAGGAAGAAGGGGAAATATTTTTAACGCTAGAAGCTGTGGCCAAAACAGAGTGGGTACCAAAAGGTACTGGTGGGAATCTGCTAACCAGAGGTGAAAGTAAGCCGGGAGCTGGTAGGTCCGGAGGTGATTTAAAGGCCCCGCCTCTTCCGGTTGAGGCCCTGTCCCTGCCCAGGACTCTGGCATACTGGTAAGTCCTTTAACTTACTTTCACCCTGGCATCAGCCCACTTAGGGTATGTCTACACTGCAATTAGACACCCTCAGCTGGCCCGTGCCAGCTGACTCGGGCTCGCAAGGGTCAGGCTGCAGGGCTGTTTAATTGTGATGTACACATTCTGGCACTGGCTGCAGCCCGAGCTCTGGCATCCTTCCACCTCCCAGGATCCTAGAACCCGATCTCCAGCTTGAGCTTGGACGTCGACACTGCAGTTAAACAGCCCCGCAGCCTGAGCCCCATGAGCCTGATTCAGCTGGCGCACGCCAGCCACAGGCTTTTAATTGCAGTGTAGACGTACCTTAGAGTAGGAGGGGTTGAGCTCAGAATATAGCAAAATCTGATTGAAGCTAGGCCCTGACTGTTGAGCTGCATTTGTGGCATATTTAGTAGGTGTGATTCTGATTTCCGGATACTGAACCCTCAAATGTAAGAATGTTCCCGCCTATCTGTAAGGGGGAATGGCTGCAGGAGGATCCCAGATGGACGATCTTCCAGAATGACACAATACGCTCTTGATTTCTCCCGTGGGGATTTCATGTTTTTCTTTCATTGTTTGTTCTCTTCCTTAATCTCTTCGTAGGTTGGCAAACATAATGGGTGAGTTCCTGGGCTGTGCCTCTTGGTGGCGCAAGACACACAGCACAGCACCACAGAATGGAGGGCAGAGGTGGCCTTAAGCCAGGGGTTCTCAAACTGGGGTTTAGGACCCCTCAGGGGGTTGCGAGCTTATTACATGGGGGGTCGCGAGCTGTCAGCCTCCACCCCAAACCCCACTTTGCCTCCAGCATTTATAATGGTGTTAAATATATAAACAAGTGTTTTTAATTTATTAGGGGGGTAACACTCAGAGGCTTGCTATGTGAAAGGGGTCACCAGTACAAAAGTTTGAGAACCACTGCCTTAAGCCATCAGGGCCGGCTCCAGGCACCAGCTGAGCAAGCAGGTGCTTGGGGTGGCCAAGGGGAAGGAGCGGCACATCGGGCTTTTCGGTGGCAATTCGGCGGAGGGTCCCTGTCCCTCTCGGAGGGAAGGACCTGCCGCCGAATTGCTGCCGAAGAAGAAAGCGGCGCGGTGGAGTTGCTGCCGATTGCAATCGTGATCGCGGCTTTTTTTTTTTTTTTTCCGCCGCTTGGGGCGGCAAAAGCCCTGGAGCCGGCCCTGTAAGCCATCTTTGAGTTCTGGGGATTCTGGACTGACTGGGGCCAAAAACACCCCCAGGGTAATGTAGGCAACTCAGGGGGCTGTCTGTGAGGAGCTCCATGTCCCAGAGTCACAACATGACTCCTACAATGGGGCTTACAGGTGGCTCTGGACCTGTGCAATGCCATGTGTGTGACAGAGGAGTTCATCCTGCTGCAGTGCACAGAGGCCTGACAGTGAGGGAGAATCCCGTCCCCTCAACTGTGTTAATGCCAAATAGAAGAGTTAAAAAAAATCAGAAGAGAAACCAGAATAAATGCAAGTGTCTCAGCCTGAAGTGGTGCCCATCTGCTGTCTGACGCATGCGCCTTAGGAGTGTTTCCATAGGTCTTTTACAAGTGGGGAGGGGATGGACCAAGGCACATTTTCAGAAGGACCAAGATCTGAGCTTCAGGGGCCAGCACAACAAAAGCAAGGACATAGGTTGTGGTGTGACATTGCCGCAGGCCTTGGCCTCCATGTTTCCCTTACGTTACCTTGTTGTTTTCTACTGAGAACTGGAAGTGAGAAGTTAAAGTTGTCCATTGCTGTGTCTGTAAAAACAGAATTTTAAAATCAGCATGAGCTTCTCTGTGCTTTCCCCAATGTGCTTCCATGCGGACACAGAGTGTATCATTACAGCACTTAGAAATCATGCATGCATTGCATTCCTGCAGCCATCATTTAGGAAAAACTCCCTTTGAGTCAATGGGAGTTCACCTGAGTGAGCGCAGCAGGATTATGGCCTGGGTATTATGAAAGAACTAGTTATTGTCGTCATGAGTAAAAAGATAGGAACTCCTGACTCAATCATATAATTTTTTGTTGCTATTAAAATATTTAATTATTTGCCATAGATGTGAGTAACTTAATGATAATTCCTCCTCGTTAAACAGAGCGATCAATCTTCACTTGAGAGCTGTCATTCCTTAAACTGGAAATAGGTAGATCAGGGAGGATGTGGGAAACTCTGCTAATGTGTTCAGGAAATTAATGCCGTGGAGGTGAACTGAACTTAAGTCTTGAAATAAAACATATCTTTACTTTGCCAGATTTTTCCCCAGATTCAGAGTTCTATGTGTTTTCCTAGAGTAATGTGCTGTGAGTTGTGAAGGCCTCAGTTTGAATTCCTGCTTAGCCATTTATTCACTGTGTGGCCTTCTGCATGTCACTTATAAATATAATGGAGATATCCTATCTCCTAGAACTGGAAGGGACCTTGAAAGGTCATTGAGTCCAGCCCCTTACCTTCACTAGCAGGACCAAGTACTGATTTTGCCCCAGATCCCTAAGTGGCCTCCTCAAGGATTGAACTCACAACCCTGGGTTTAGCAGGCCAATGCTCAAACCACTGAACTATCCCTCCCCCCACTTTAAGATTAAACCTAAAATAATACTTACTTACCTCTCAGGTATGCTGCGCAAACTAATTAGGTAATGATCTGTGGAGTGCTTTCAAGTTATTATTCCAGCTAACAATACTATGAGTTTCCAAAGAAGCATAGGGATTTCGAGAAATGCAGCTCTGCTCTGTTTAAAAGTAGAAATTGGTGCACGTAAAATATAGAACCCTGAACTCTGGCTACACAGGTGAACACTTTTCAGTTCACCTTGGGTCACATTGGAACATCAATTTTTAATCAGAATGCCCCACTGATTTCAGTAATGCCCCGTTCATTATAGATGGGACTGGTAGCCTGACACAACCCAGATAAGATCCAGTTTTCAGTTGCTTATAACTTTGCCAAACTGAAATTTTCCATACCAGGTGTCTGCCTCCAGTTGAACTTTTTGGAAAATTGCAGCCAAAACACTTTAGCCATTTCTGAGAACAAAGCTAGGGGAAAATACATAGTTTTGCCCATGTTAAAAAAATTCTGGCAATCTTTTCTTTGAACAGCTCTATTACCCCCATGATTTGGAGCAGGGACTTGAAACTTAGCAGGAGGGTGGCCTGTGTATCAGGGCTATGCCTCTCACTGTGCTTATGAATTGCTACCTGGATTTGGCCAAGTTAGAAACTTCTGAAAAATTATAGTTTGCACATGTTCTCTAGAGACATTAGATTCTTAGCAGCTAAAATCCCTGATTCCATCCACTCTGAGCATGCTCAAGCCTCTCACCGCTTCTAGTAGTGAACAGACTATCCCCACACAGTGATCGAGCATGCTCCAGCCCAAGACAGGGGTGAAGCTGTAATGGCTGCTCTGGGCCAGGGTGGGGCTGGGCATGGGAACTGAGAGCAGGAACCCTGTCTCCTTCTGTGCGCTTAGTGAACCCCCTACTGGCACCAGGCAGCATGGAAGAGGAAGCAGTCTGATTGGAATGGACAAGAGCTGGACCCAGGGGTGGGAGAGGAATGGACTGCAGCAAGTAGTCCAGTGAGACTGGGAATGGAGAGGGGAAAGAAATTGGAACTGGCTGGGTAAGGGGTCTGCAACTGGAAGTTGGAGGGAGGGAAGGATATGAGGCAAAGGTCTTGTGGGGGGAAAAGAGTATGTGATCAAGTCATTTAAGAGTGTATATACACAAGGGGACAGCATTAAGGTTACACAGGCAACCTTAGTTCTGGTATTTCCTAACTTCGAAGCACTTGACTTTGCAACTTAATGTTACTTTAATATAGTTTCATAGATTCATAGATTCTAGGACTGGAAGGGACCTCGAGAGGTCATCGAGTCCAGTCCCCTGCCCTCATGGGCAGATTAGAAAAGAACTAAATACTTACACATGAAACCATTAATTCTTGAATTAAAATAATTTTCAACTACAATGGGCCTGATTCCAACTCACAGTAGTGTAAATCAGGAGTGAATGGACTAAAACTAGTAAGAGGAGAGGCAGACCTGATATTTTGATGAAACAATGCTTTTAACATTCTGGGTGGAATATTTTTCACTTTAAATAATGGCATTTATATGTATAATTCAGAGTATTGAATTCTGTCAAATTGAAAGAAATACTAAGGGAGAAAGGAATAAAATTACTTGAAATAAATTTATTTCCCTTCTTCTTGCGAGTCTGGGTTTTTGGGTGTTTAATAACACAAACAGCTAATTCAATGAATGTTTGTATTTTGTAAAAACATTACAGGCAGGTTTCAACCTGAAATGAAACTTGGGGTATGGGGAGGGGAATTTAGACGGTATGCTCTGTACTGCTTTGTCCAATCAGCTCTTACTCCTGGTTTTTCGCTCTAGGAGCATCAAAGAGGCCCAAGTGAGCCACCATGCATCAGTGAATCTGACACAGAGTGTACAAATGGAATAACAGATGGAATGTTAAAGGCAGATGTTGACAGTGTCAACATCATGAGCCATCAGAATTGATGTAACTTAAAACTTTACTCATTTATATGCCTTAATGAGTTAATGTCTTCATTGTGTCTAATATATTGGGTACATTAGACAAAATACACTTCTGGTGCCACTCCCTATTCCAGGTATATTACAACATTCCTTAGGATTTTATTAGAATACTGGAGCTTGAAAAGAATACTGCTCTGTGCCACTGCATTATATGTCCTTCTGCAAAGGACTGGAAAGAGGAATAAATATGCTGTGGGTTCCGCAGATGTGCCCCTGATAAGGCCTAATCAATCCTTGTGCTTTAACGCTGGGATTTTCAAAGAAACGGAAAGGAGTCAGGCACTGAACTCCCATTTAATGTCAATGAGATTTGGGCAACAAAGTCCCCTTGGGTTCCTTTGAAAATAAGTCTAAACGCATAAATAATAATAATGTGTTGTTTATTAATATTTATTATTATTATTCCTTAGAAAAGTACATCTTCTGTAACTATAAATCTCTGAAAACTGTTTTAGTAGATTATACACAGTAATGACAAAATAACGATAATATATTGGCATTTCAAGTGTGACAGTTGAGGGGGAATTGTGAGACGTGTCATAAGCCTGATTTCATTTACCATGCTGTAAATCAGAACTTAATGTCTCTGAATTATAGAATTTTAGAATTATACTAGAATAAAACTTTTTTGTGTGAAATCATAATCAGGCCTGTGTTAAGAAATAATGTAAACAACTGCAAGAGGAAGCCATTTGCAACTCACAAGAAGTTTCATGGATCCTACAAAACCCAAGAACTATGCTTTCTGTTCTTGAGTGCCATCTACTGGCACCTTCTCTATTAATTGTCCATTTACACATTCAAAGATATAGAGCAGTGATTCTCAACCAGAAGTACATGTACCTCTGAGGGTACGCAGAGATCTTCCAGGGGATACATCAGCTCATCTAGATATTTGCCTAGTTTTACAACAGGCTACAAAAAAAGCACTAGCGAAGTCACTACAAACTAAAATTTCACCCAGAAGGGACTTGTTTATACTGCTCTATATATTATACACTGAAATGCAAGTACAATAACTATATTCCAATCGATTTATTTTATAATTATATGGTAAAAATGAGAAAGTAAACCATTTTTCAGTAATAGTGTGCTCTGACACTTCTGTATTTTTATGTCTGATTTTATAATCAAGTAGTTTTTAAATGAGTTTGAAAGTTGGGGGTATGCAAGCCAAATCAGACACCTGAAAGGGGTACAGTAGTCTGGAAAGGTTGAGAACCACTGATATAGAGCACTCCTTTAACAGTCTACATTTATGTATCTATTTCCTTGTGTAGTATTTGGCTGTACTGTTTTCAAAAAGCTAAAGACTTTGGTTTTTTTTAACTTCAGTAGATTAAACACAGCCCCATAGAGCTCACATTTACAACTTGAGAAAAGTTAAGGCAAAGAACTAGTCTCACTTATTTAAAACATTGTCTCTTCACTGCAATGATCGTTAATTAAAAAAAACACATCAGAGGGAGGCAGACAATAAGAACCAACTTATTAGGTGAGGGGCTTTGAGGCCCAGTCCATTTAACATTGTCCTTTAAACCACAAAGATTCCTGCCATGTCAATTCAGTTCCCAGAGGAAAATAAATAACCCCATAGTTTCTATATCACAGTTAGAGAAACAGCCCATTACAATGTAAGAAATGACCAAAACCAAAAACCCTTTGATGTAACCACATTCTCTATGTGCTTGGCATTTACCTGCTCTTCTGCTGGCACTGCTGCTTCAAAGGTGAACCGTCTTGTCTGAAAGGCAGAGAGGGATGTGTGTGGTAGGAGCCTGGGCCTGGCAGAGTGATAACAACTAGATGTCTGTCTGTGTGTATTAATCACGTGCTCTGGATTAGTTGGAGCATGGAGGGGCTGTGAAGTCACAGTCCCAATGGCAATTACATGTGGTGCTGCTCCCTTAGATTGCCTGACGCATTTCCTCCTCCAGGCCGTGAGCTCTTTACATTAAAGTTTTACCCCAAACACCGAGCAGTGAGGCTGGAACCTTAACTTCCACCACGTCCGGGAGTTTCCTGATTCCAAGGAAAGGAGGTGGTAGGGCCTCGGGCCCCTGAATCAGCCAGGCACAAATGCAGACCAACTTGCCTAATGAGTCTGGGTGGAGGTGGAGCAGCATCAGCTTTAGTTTTCTGGTTGCCTCATAAAGAGAGAGAGGAAATGAAATCTAA